TGTATGTATGTATGTATGTATGTATGTATATATATACATACGTATATATATATATATATATATATATTAAGATGTGCGCACACACTAGTTTCAAAGCTTGTGAGGCTAAATGAATGTGTCCACGAGCAGTGTCATGTGAGCGTACGCGCATGTTGTAAGGTGCTGGAAGTACCTAACTGAGAATATTTCATCACTTCATTAGAATAAATATAGGCTGTCGCTATCACAACAACTGGAAGACAATATATGACAGATAAGCGGTGCAGGACAATTTCACAATGAAGTCTTCTTCAAATGATGGACTCACAGCAACGCCTATATAGTTCTGTTGATTGATACGCCCTACACGGTAAACAGTATGGCTTACTCACCCTTATATCTCTTATATCAGCATCATCTTTTATTTACCATTATCTACTATCAAAAAGAAAAGATAAGTAGTGATTAATAAGCCTGACATGCTAACTAGATAGAGATAGTGCACCCATGGTTTATGAAAACTCCTCACATCAGCACTAATCTGATTTTGGATATTTATTTTAATTTTATATTATATGAAACCCATTTAACAAATTGATATGCTTCACAGGCTTCTTAGATTGTGGACCCGTTTTCAATTTTCAATTTTCGCCCCAGCAGTCACATATTCTGGATATAGCGTTTGCTCGTTCCAGACCGACTGGAGGACTTGTCCAGGTTGATATATGTCCTTGAGACTTGACAATTTTGTACTTATATTCGAAATTAACCCCCACAAGAACAGCATTCATCGGATTCTGGGTTGGCTTTTGCTATCTTCCTAGATCAACTGGAGGACATTGATCAGATTTTGACACCAGATGAACTCCGCAAAAAGGTCTGTCGGTACAGGCAATGTATTATCCATTTCTTGCTAAATTACGTACACTGATTATTCCGTTCATCTTTTTTATCAAATGTGCTATTGTGAATCGTGTAGTGTGTCTATATATGTGGATGTTCGTGGTGGTTTCGCGTTCAATCCATGTACAGTTATCACTTTCATATGCATACGCAAGGGTTGCAGTTTGATTTATTTTTATGTTTATCCTGTATCGGTTGAATTTGTATCACCAGTTCCTTTTCGTTCTATTGCATACGTTGGTAAATCTATCGAAATCGTCATGAACTCTCATGTTGTTGCAATGCGCATTGGCGTGTGTATTTGTTCTGCGGCTATGTAGGTCTTGTGTTACAAATGAAGTCATATTTTCTGCAATAGAGGCCTGTTGTGTCGTGCAACTAAATATAAATGGTGTGCTTAGTTCAAGGGTGTATACCTGAAGCAGCATTCTTGAATGAAAGTGAGTGTTTGTGTTAACTACATTTACAATATACCCATGTGCATTGGTCCGATGCTGAATAATAGTGCCTTCAACATCCGGATTAGTAGTTCATAATACTAATACTGTAGTCTGCTGACAATACCAATGACCTGTCCGACTTTATATATTCAAAACATACCCATATATTGACCCCGATGCTTTGAACGCACAGATCGAACGAGTAATCATCATCATACGAGATGCCCAAGACAAGAAGGGTGTGATGGGGCTCTCGCTCTTCAATTTCGTCGTTTCCGATGGATACTCGGTAAGCGCTGCAATTGTGTCGGATATGTCCTATTCTACGATATACACTACAAACGGATCGTTAAGTGTTGCTCATGACACGGTGTGTTCGATGGACCTCACTCACTCTCCGACGTTGTTGCGTCTGATGCATACTCAAGAAGCGTTGCATTCGTTTCGTATTTGTTTGATACATGGATATCCGCTACAAATAGATTGTAAATTGTTGCTCAAGATAAGGGTGTGACGAACTCTCTCTTTCTTTGATTATGTCGTGTCTGATAAGTACTCGGTATACCCTACATTCGTGTCTAATACGTCTGTGATGGGCCTCTCTCTCTCTCTCTCTCTCCTCC